TAGTACTAGTACTAGTACTAAGTACTGGTCGCACTGGTGGTGGTGGTAGTAGTAGTCGTCGTCGTAGTAAGTGGTCAAATGAACCTTTGTCAAACTTCCGCTTACAGTAGAACCTCTACCACATCCTAGAAACAAAAACTGCAGCCCCGTTGTTGTTTTTTGGACCAGCCCTAAAAAGGTGAAGTGGTTGTCTCTACCCCCTCCTTAAAACAAAAACTGCAGCCCCCCTTCCAGACACTGAAAACGGACCAGCCCAGACTTCAGTGAAACAAGTCCAACAAGTCCAGCTACTTACGAAACCAACATTCCCTCAAACCTTCAACCGTATCCCTAACCATGCCCCCTTGAAGTTCCAGAGTTACAACATGTGACGACTATGTTGGGCGGTTGTTTTTGTTTCTAACACCACCACCACCACCACCACCACCAACAACAACAACAACAACGGTCTGGGTGGTGGAATATGTCATCAATCATATATATGTCTTTTCATGTCATCCTTGCCATTGCTCTTCATCCACACTCAACACGATCTTCTCATCTGCCATGGCATCTTCTCGGACGCCCCCCCTCGCTCGCTCCATCAGTTGCCTCCGCTCAAACAACGCCCTCGCCTTGCCGATGGCATCCGCTGCCACACGCTCGTGCTCCTGCAGACTTTGGAGGTCGGAGGTGGCTATCTGAGTCAATGGCCGTTGGAGCTGTGGCTTTTGGTGGATAGAACTTCTTCTTTTCAAACAGTATCCATTTTAATCCAGGGGTTCTCATCGTCGAATCGTCAAGGCCTTGGCAAGAAAAACACAAATGACACACAACGAATGCTATGATATATTAGACATATTATATAATAGTTGTTATGTTAGACGGTCTCTGATCTGTATGATCTGTATAGTATTTGTTTCAGGAATCCACGTGTTCGGGTGGTTCGATCTTCGTTTGGATGGTCGTACGTCCATCAAGTCTCTATGAGCCACACCGCTCTGGGGAGTCTTGGAACCCCTACCCAAATCCAGTGAACCACCGCCAAATTCTACGCCGGTTTCAGCCGGTCGATGGCGATCTCGGCAATCGATGGCGAATCGGCCCGTTCGTCGTAGCGACGTTTGTCTCCTCCAGGTCGACCAAAAGCTCATGCACCTCGTCATCCTCGCGATGGCTTTTTTCCGGAGGACGAGGCGTCACCGTGGAGGTGTGGAAAAACCAGGCGATTCCCGGAAGAAACACACGCAGCAAGGAAGCTGCCACAGGTCGAAGCCCCAGAATTGGCTGGGGTCTCGGAATTGGTGGCGCTGGTGGCTTCATCCCCGGAAACCAACATGACCAAGGACATGTTAAAAAGAAACAGGAAGGTGCCAGTCATTTCTGCCAACAGCAGTGGGATGTCCCCACGGATAAGCAATCAGTCCGTAGACTGATACCGGCTGGCGCCACAGTGCAGGAGCAACAAGACGTATCAAATACCAAGGTAAATGCAAGAAAAAGGCACGTGGAACTATCAAGGAGTCAATCGCTAAACACCACATGAAACTTAACATAAACCTCCATCTTGTCGCGGGAACATGTTCACTCAAGCAAAACATGTCCAAATACAAGTTAACGTCTGGGAGGACATGTTGATTGCAGAGGCTGAGGTGTTAGGGAGTGCAACTGTGGAGCAACAGGTCCAGGAAGACTCCACTCCCTAAATGTAATCAAAGGGATCTTTATTCTTTGCAAATCTTTATAACAAACCTTCCAAAGCATGATCACGAAAGGTCAAGCTGATCAGCGGAGCCTCAATCGGTTCTTGCACACGGGCATGAACAGCCTTTACTTAGTGACTTCTTAATCTTCTGAAACCTACATTAGTTAAGTGGCTTCAAGGATTATCTTCACTTCTTAATAACTTCTTATAAAATCTTGTACATCCTTAATCAAATGGCTCCAAACATACGAAACCCGGCCTTCACCCTCCCCCCCAAACCCGACCCCAGCCTCACTCGCGGTCGCCCGCTCCCGCGCCCGGCCTGCGTCTGCCGGCTCTGCCGGCTCTGCGGTGTGGAGAGGATCGGTTGGCTCTGAACCACACCTCGGGCCGTGGCCGATCCCGGACCGAACCGCCGGACTTCGTGGGGCATACGGCCTGTATACGGTGGGTTTCGGCCATGGTGGGTTTCGGAGGCCTGAAGAGTTCAGGCCTTGGCCCTGCGCCCTGCAAAAGGCAGGCGTATCATGTTGTTTGTTCATGTTTGTTCTTTGTTGTCGCTTTTTGCGGTCAACACCAAGTTCCATGCGAGCACACCCGGGCGTCGTATTCCAATACAGAGACCAAAGATCCCCTGGAAGAAAGACATAATAGACTTAAACTGACTAGACTAGACCAAAGGCGCCATCCAAAACGCTCCAATCTCAGCGCCGAGTGGCTCGAGCCTTTCAATCGTTTCAGCGCGCCCCAAGGCGCTGCCTCCCAGGTGTGGTCCGATGTCCAAATGGTGCAAACGCGCGTGGTTTTCTGGCTTGTTTTGTTTGAGGGGTATGATAGGGTGATATAGGGTCAGTCCGCCGGACATTGTTACCGGTTCTTCACTGCGCTGTTCGTCTTGGCCGTTCTGAACACGACATACAAAACAGTCCAAAAAACCGCAAGGCACGACTGATTCCGTCCGAGTTAGGATCGTCCGAGAAGAAGATCGGTGCCTCCATGTTGGGCGCAGCCAAATCTCCACAGCTACTGGTGCCTAAGCATGGGCAGCAAGGTGTTGGCACGACCAGTGTTGTTGGTTCACCAGGCCTGAAATCAGTCTAAATCTCACTAGATCCGGTCACACAGTGGCCACTCGGTCTACGAAAACTTGCCTAATGTAGACTCTTGAGGACCATAAACCACCCATATGAAGAGGATTGAATCCATTTCAATTGGGTGCTTCATCTAATCAAGAGTCAATTGGGTGCTTTCAATTGGGTGCTTCATCTAGTATGGCCAGCTTCATCCTATGAGCTCTTCGCCCAGACCGAGCTTCGCGCCTGGCGCCAGAGGTCTGAGGCGTACGAAGCTCTTGGGGCGCCGGAAGCCGATCCGCGCCTGGGATGCCAGAGGGATGTCACAGCGCCCAAACGAGGTCCAAACGAAAAAAAGACTCCAACAGATCGGATTGTCTATATACATGTAATTACGTCTAACAATAAGTATGTTACGTGTACATATCTCTGTTTGAACTTTTGGTCTTGTTGTGCTTTACAGTGCTTTGACTAAGTGCACGTGTAGTGTACACACAAATGTGCACTGCGTGCACGACTGTGCTGTGGAGTGGCGAACATCAAGCCATAGCACTGCTCATGCCAAACTGGAAAAGCTAGTACATGGGTGGGCCATTGTCTGTGGGAAGGTGTTCTAGGTTCACTGCATTGTCGTTTTGTTGCGTTTTGCCTATAGTGCAAGCGTGGAGCACAACACTCCTCGCTGTCTTTATGGAGAAGACCAAACATGGAAGGGTTATCCATGTGCAGGTTATCATTAATCATTGTATTGGTTCTCCCCACTTTGCAGTGGATTGAGCGTGATTCTGGCCAAAAGGACATGTGGGCGTAAATTACATTCTTGGGTGAGAGTTACTGATTGTTAAATTCGTTTGGGGCGTCGCCACGAAGAAAAACAACGTACGGGGGACCCAAGGGTGGCTGGCCAGTTCGGGCGGCACGGGTCTGCGGGACTCAACACGTTCAACCCATGGTGTTTGAATGTGGTCATTGACGGGTGTTCAGGATCACATGGTCCATCCGTTTTTCCCCGCAATGGGTCTCCTGGAGTGGTTTCTGGCCCTGACGCCCTTGTTTTTTGCTGTGAATCTCTGTGACCGTCCACACCTGTGAGTCATCAAGCTAGAGTGGGGGGGCGCCTTCATTGTTCCACCAAGCAACCCACGCGGGACGCGGCGGGACGCGCGCCTCCATGTGGAAGGAGGTCTCGTGAGGGTTGTAGCGCCGACAGGCCATGGCCTCGGTGGACATGGTCCAAGTCGGTCGGCCTGGTCCAAGTCGGTCTGAGTCTAGCGCCCGGTCCCAACATGGTCTTGAGGTGACCCGGTCCAAGTTCAGTACTTGGGTGGTGCAACTGGTCTTTGGAGTTCATCCGAGGGATTTGGGCCTGCAAACAGTGACTGAGACAGTGACTTGCCTGTTGGGCCTGCGACGTGTTCCTGGATGTCTTGGCGATGTGCAGTGCCTGAAGATCCTAAAGCGGGTCGACCCGCTCAGTCCGTCTTGTTGCTCTGAAGCAGAAGGGCTATGAGGCTCCTTAGTATATCGAGTTGGTGGTGGATAGATTATAGTCGTGGTGGATGTTCCTTGGGCTACTTGGAAAAACAACAAAGGTGAAATATGGACTATCAGGACGTCCTGCACTCCTAGTGCGTGGAGGGAACGCACCAAGATGGACAGAACGCACAGTTTGTTGTTTTGACCGTGCCAAAGGAAACCTCGAAGGCCGGGCCGAGAGGTTTTAATGAGCAAAACGATGGCAGCATGCGCCCAGAAGATGTTTGGCAGGGGTTACGTAAAAGTCAGAAGAAAGGGGAGACAAACGGACTACAAGTAGGAGTTGTAATTAGGACTTCCCCGCTCCGGAATGAGATTGGATGAGCAATCTTTTGTATAATAACTGTTTTTAACATGCCACAGTGGCATTACTGGATCAGGAACACGACGAGCTAGTTACTGTAGGTCACACACCGCCTAACTCCCGAATGTGAACTAGGCGAAGATCTGGGGCGAATCCTGCATGCCGGGGGCTCCCCACGAAGAAGTCGCGCAAATCAGGGGACAGCCGAGAGCCTCCGAAGGCCTAGGAACGGGGACGGACGGATGGCCTGGACTGACGGACGGCAACACATGTGGAAGTCTTAAAGGAATTCTTAGGACACTCGGACACACCATAAACTGATAGCAAATGAAATGGAAATGGTCTGTGAATTGGTAAAGCTGCTTCTTAGGACGTTTAGGACTAACAATAATTGGTTTGACCATGGCAACGGGCTTTTCATGAGAATGAAAAGCTGGTGAATAGCTCCCCATCTGCAGGAGTCTGCGCATGAAATCCCCGAGTGACACCGGTTCCATTGCAGTTATACAGTAGTTTCGTTCATTGTTGTTTTGTAGAGTTTGGAGAGTTCACATGGCTTTGAATCTGACATGTTCCCATGTTTCCCATGGTGCTTTGGCCGGTGTACCATCGAGGCCAAACGAAAATGCACGGCTACTGTACCAGGCCAGCGAGGCCATGGCCGACATGATGGCTCATGTGCCAAAAGTCAACTCCAAGAGCACAGTGTGTAAATTTTAAGAAAGAGGGTCAACTCCCAACTCAAATGAGATAACAACTAAAAACAGTATGCGGACATGCGCCAATTCCGATGTCAAACAGTTGCGGGAAGTGGGCTTCGCCTACGCCCAAGAACCTTTTGAACTCATACTCTTTCTTGACTCTTGACACCAATTCTCACGATCCCAAATCCTCGACACAAAATGATAGAAACACATTCGTCCCACAGCTTGAGGAAGTCAACCACTTCGTGTAGAACTAAGAGGATTCAGTGGAGACGTGAACGTATGACTGTCGTGCACGTTCACGTGGAGGTCTTAGTTTTCATCACCCCAACCTGGTCAATCACTCAGTTTGGACCAGCCCGTGTGTCAACGGCCCTCCCGCACCTTCGTGCTGCGCAGCACGGGCTTCAGCGGCCGCTGCTTTCGCGGCGGATTCAGCTGCCTGCGCATGTCCGGTTTGTGCACTCCAACGAGCTCTGTTTCGAAGGTGGCTTCAAGGGTACACTGTAAAAGCAATAAGTAGAACCCTAACAAGTTTAAGATAATTTTAGTATCTTCTGAGATCCTTGGAACATGCGGGCTGGCGGTTTGTCTCAAAGAACCTTTGCTTTCGGAGCAAATGATTAAGGGCTGCCAATACGAGGGGCTCCGCACATGACATGCCTGCCATGACATTGGACATCTTTTGTACAGGCTGCGTGACCAGTCAGGCACAAAACCCCCCGACATGGCAGGACATATGAGGACCATATCATCATGTACTACAGCTTCAGCACAGCTGAACGTCGAGCGAGCTGTCTTTTTGCGCTTGGAAGTGGGTCATACTCACCCACGTGCCACGTCTTGGAACGGTCACACCCCCCCCGGTCCCGGCCCGGAGGGCCCGGAGGCCCGGAGGGCCGGTGCGAACTGACGACGTCTGACCGTTAGGAAGGGGAAGGGGAACAGGTCGACCTACAGGTCGTCCTCTTGGGGGGTGTAGGGTATGTGTTTAAACTTCATCACATGCATGCATGTCTACCATCTAGCAAATCATCTTTGGTTTGTCAAAGGAGTTGGTGGAACTGAGACTCACTTCTTTGTTGGCTCCATAGCAGGGAGCACGATTCTTCAGTTCTGCCGAAGATACGAGTAGCACTATAGACATTCCTCTGCATCCTAGGGGTTTTGAAGACATGCAAACGATCACCCACTATTCGTCTACGATCCTGTAGTGTAGACTCTTGATGAATAAAGCCTGCCTCATTTAGACTCTTGACTCTATGAACCTCTTTTGTATGGGGGGTGGAAATATCATCAAGAGTCTACATTGCACCTGAATAAAGGAAAACATCGCTGCATGCTCTGGATACTGGAGCCCACGTGGGAAAAAAACAATTGTGCAGCTTGCAGCCCGGCCTGTCGTTCAAGGGAGGCAGCAGCCCTGCCTGGCGATCCGGGCTTCTACTCCGCCGACTCTTGATGAATAACACGCCCCAATTTGGATGAATGTTCAGCCTCTTTATATATTACAAAATTCATTAGATTTTGTATGTTATTGTCAAACGTCTACATAACGAGTTGCGTGGACTGATTCTGGACCCTTCTTTACCTTGTGAAGTGTAACATACAATTCAGTCGTGGAGTTGCTTCTTGCTTCACGGCGCATGTTCGTGTCCGAGCCCTCAGAAAACACGGGCGCTTAAGAAATCGGTGTGGAATGCTTTCGAACAGGGCCAGGTCTCTGTGACTTGACGTTGCCAACCACCTGCCCAATCGACGTCGCGAAAGCACAACGTGTCAATCTGGGTCGAAAGTTGCCAAGGAATTCCTCTGGCTGTGCTTTCCACACACTGCTTGGCTCACAATGTAATGCTCACAAGAAACGAGCTTGTTGAGAACACCTTGTAATCGCCAGGTGTGTGGTGAAACAGGCACCCCTCCCAAAGACCACAGGAGAAAAAGGAACCTATAGCCCAAAAACCCATTGGTTGGGGGCATGCGGTATGCCCTTCAAAAATACACACCCAGGTTGCCCTAGCCTTCAAAGACCCTTAAAAGAATGGTTGCCCTGGTGAGTCACCAGTGTAAAAAGGTCCTCAGCAACAAAAAAATGGTTCTTTGATGTTCTTTTGGAACAAAACAAATGCATTAATATGGTTGTTCGAATCCTAGGCGTTGACCTGGTGGTCCGCCAGACCCGTTCGAACGGGGGTGGCCTTCGTCCGGGCGGCGCGCGGCGGGTCGCGGCGAGTCGCAGCGGCAGCGCGGCCTCTTTCTCCTTTGGGGATCCATTGAAGACGCCTGTCGTGCGCGAGCGCAGGTGGCAGCCATCGCTGGGTGATGCAGAAAGTCTCAATCACACTCGTGAAAGAACTCAGATCGAAGAATTTAGACCAAACCAATCGATAGCAAAAACCCTTCCACAGATCGGTCTTCGAAGTCGCTTACCCATGAAGTCCAACCTTGGAAAAAACACCTCTATTAGCGACGATTATAGTAGGCTGAGCTGTTTTTTATTGCCAAACAATGGACTCATACTAGACTCGACTCCCTCGTTCGCATCGACCAGCCCCGGACCCGAGCGAAACGGACGCCTGCCTGGCCGGGTGTGGATTGCTCCCACTCCTGGCAGGCGGAGTCCGCTCAAGGCGCCAGGAAGCGGCACCCCGAAGGGAGAAGAGGACAGTTGATATAGAGATGTTGATGTTTCATGTGTGTATAGATGTATGTACCGCCCGTGGTCGGCCAATGAGGACGGTTCTTGAGTCTTCTCTGGTTGGTTTGATCTCAAGATCTTGTGGCTTGTCCCATTGTTCCAATCGAAGTGCCGGGTCGACTCCATGAGGAAATAATTCAAAGCAACTGCAAAACAATCCATCTATGGCATGTTTACCGTATATACATTAAATAAGGATGGATGTACATCGAACATGGTTTTCTCATACAGGGAAATCTCATATATGAAATTTGCTGCCAAATGGACACATCTATTTCCCCATCCTATAGATCTTGGAAGAGGGGAGTTCCAAACTTCCTTCATGTAGACGCGAGTCCAGGGGTGAACCCCCGTCAGTCCGACGGGGCGCTGAGGACGTGTTTTCACGAGATCGGTTGATCCGGCTCACCCAGTGACCGGTTGGGTCACCGGTTGGACGCCGTCCGTCCTCATGCGAATCGGCCAGATATGGGGTCCAGTCAGCGCGGTCCAACCAGTCCCCAAATCCTGAGTTTAGTTGCACCACGCCTTGGCTCATGAATCCGAGAATCGGATGGCAGTATGCGGTCGGATCGCGGTGATAGCTGTGATCCCTGTGGCTTTGATATTATGGCAGGTTTGGTCTGGGAGGGCCTCCAAACGGAGGCGAGTTGCCAAGATGAACTTCTACATCTTTCCTGTGGCCAAAATTAGCCAAAAGACGTGGCGAACCGCTTAGAAATCCAAAGATCCTTCAAAACATGTCTGTCTGAGAGTGCCAAGCTCTGACGCAAAGATGTGCTGTATTGAGGTGTTTCTCTCATTTCCGGTTTTGGGTGCTTCCCGATCACTACACGTCTGGTGATCACTTGATGGTTGAACATGGTTCCTCAAAACCACCTCTCTTCCATGGTTCCAACATTCTGTGAGACCCTGAGCAAGCTTGAGCCCAAGCAATGCGGAGCAGCAAGGAAGGTGAGAAGAAACCTTAACTCATGGCTCCTCCCTTGAGTAGGGACCCTGGAATAGAATAGATTTGAGGGAGCGGGCCATCTTAACTCCTTATCTGAGTTCTTCAATCACATGGGTTTTCATGGATCAGACTGTACCTGAGTTCAGCTCTTCGCATGCCACGTGGCCCCCCGGCGGCCGGCTCCGTGGTTGGGAGCTCGGTCTTCGGCCAGGCCAGGCCAGGTCCCCCGGCCAGGTCCTGCTCAAAGACATCGCGGTTCTTCGTCTGATCCTCATCCTGGCCAGGTCCCCGGTGTCCGTGGTGGAACTCGCCCAGCAATGGGACAGCGAAAGTCGCAGGAGTTCGCCGCCTTCAAATCCCAACATGAGAGACCAGCAATTTAAATGCTGCATGTTTGCACCAACATCAGCTGCTGTTTGATGATGTCATAGCTTAAAACTCCTTAAAACTCGTCAAAGAATGCCATCTGGGTTTGCTATCTTCCCGCCCAATAGAATGGCAGTGGGCACATATCAAACATAACGTTCTCACTCCATTCCGTTCTTGTTGTTGACGTAGGCTGCGAATCTGCGAACCCATAAGGATACGAGTAACCAGTTTGCTTGCATTGGAGGCCGGGCAATTCCGGGAAGACTTGACCTTTTTTGGGGGGGAGCTTTCCGTCCAGAATGGCTTTTCGCAGCGTCATCTCACCCCAAGCTGCCCGTGTTTTAAACATGTTCAAACCTCATTTGGCACCGGTCACACCGGTGTTTTCCACCGGTCACACCGAATGCCGAACACGGGCGGCCTGGAAGGGATAGCTGTTGCTGGCGGCCTCGATTCGGCAGCCATTCCATGTGTGAAGCCCTGGAAGTGTCGCACAAATAAGGGTAAATAGATTACCCAGAGAATCAAGGAACGGTTCTTTTTCTAATAGCACTCTTCTAGAAAAGGGTATTGTCAAAGATGCGTCAAGCACCCCTCCATTTAAGTGTGTATGTAGCATTTGGGTTGTTCCGCATTCCATGTGCAAGATGTGCATGTTGCGTAAAACTAGTGAAAACATTACAGCAAGTTTATTTGTTGTGTTTGTTTGTCCTCATGTATGCTCGTACATGGGTGATTCCTAGTACCACGGGTTAATTGAAACCAAAAGAAGAAGCTGTTGCTGCATGCTTGACCCTGACGTGTGTGGTCTCTTCGGTGATCCCGGATCCCTGGCTGGTCCGTCATCCCCAATCTATCCACTGCGGTCCAGCCAATGGATCTGCACACGCATGGATCTATAGCACCATGTGCGCCCTCTAATGGATACCGTACAACGAAACACCTCCACCAAACACCTCGAGAAGAACCAATGAAGCCATGGTCCTGGAGCTTCCAAAATAAGCGTAACACTCCCAAAAAGAGTCTTGCAGGTCCCTGAGCACACACCTTCATCTTCTGGTTGCTTATGGTTGGTGAACTCCGTAACGATGTATCGAATTCACCCTTCGATAAAGACCGTGCGTTGGGATTTCATGGGATTTATATTGTTGTAGACATAAAGATGAATTGAGAAGTAGAGGTAGTTGAACCAACATCCGTAGTGACGTGTTTGGATTTCTGGATATAGAGGTTGAACATGGTAAACTGCTTGAAACCATCCGTCTTGAACAGCCAGACTGCCCACATGCTATCTCCTGATCCTCTGCCGGGAGCCCCCGCCAGGAACATCAAGACCTGACATGGTGCACGGCTGAACGTTCTCCAGGTACTCAAACCCTCAAACAAAGAGACGCACACACACACACAAAAAAACATAACAAGCACGTGTTCAGGAGGTAGTTGGAGCCTCAGGGGCACGAGGCTAAAAAGGGGAAACAAGTTGTGACCTCTGTATGCACTCAAGAGTCTAAAGTATACAACTGTCTTCCTTTGATCGTTTGGCACGAGAACAAAGGGGCCGAGTAAGGTAGAACTGGAGTGGAGGGTCGGAGTTCAGTCTTTACCACCCTGTTCATGCTGCATGGGCTGCCCGTTTCTGTGATGATTCTTGCTTCCCAAAATTGGTGAGCTGGCATTCGTCTTGTCTATCCGCACATCCGAGCTGTGAAGCGCTTTCATCAGGACGTTGGAATAAGGGATCACTATACACCACTATCACTGCGGTCACTGGAACACCAGAAGCCGCGAAACCACTCCATGTCAACATTCATAGTGCGCCCCGGTATCTCACATCATAGAGAGCTCTCCTGCATCTCTATCTCTCTCAACCTCCAATGCCCAATGCAACCATCGGTCCGGCGAATGCAATCAGGGACTTGTTTCAAGGGGCAAAGCGGGCAAAGGAGTTCGCCCAAACCCTTCTGTCAAGGCTCGCCTGGTTCACGATCTTTAACACATCTTTCCAAACATCTGCCTTCGAACTGGTCTTTGATGCCGTTCTTTCCGACCTTAATAGATGAAAACAAATGAAACCAGTACAAGATTCTCAAAAAGCCGGTCCTTCTCCATGAGCCACCCGTCTCCACCGAAACACCCCAGCCTCCAACCCGACTCCACCCGTCTCCCTCGCATCTGCCCCGCGCTCTCCAGCGTCGCTCTCCGTTCGCTCCGTTCGCTGGTCTTCCGGACCCCAATGGCGAAGACATCGACCACATGCCAATACCTGAGCTGTTGTGTTTTTTGTTCAATGAAAACGAAAACACCGAAACAACACACAATAAAACATGAGTCAGTAGCTTCAATCATCCCCATGTGCAAGTCGGAACATCAAACAAAAATCTGAGACGAACTCCCTGTAAGCAGGACCCTACCGGACCAGACCGATGAAGATCTTTCCCAAGGGGAAGGGGAGAGTCATGGCGCTGGCAAAGAGGAGTCGGCATAGAGGCGGCATGAGATGATTAAGCAACCCTAGGGATCCGGTCGTACCTTCTCAGAAGGTACGACTGCACGCTCAAAACCATGAGTGTCTCCGTCCTCACCGTACCTGAGAAGGTACGACTGGATCCCTAGGGGAATGGAACAGAGGTGGCCATGGGTCAAAATCGGTAGACCTTAGCTGACCACCGAAGTCAAGGCTTTGGGGCCTCCAGGTGACCGCCAGAGAACCTCCTTCCTCCCCACGGGCTCCCGGTGCCATGACCTCCGAGGTACTTGGATGGAAAGACTATGAACAGCTAGTATGTCGAAAAGCGGCCTTCTTTTTCCTAGGACCCCCTCCAAAAAAAGAGTTTGACCCTCCAAGGTCTCCAAGGATTGGCACGGAAGAAAACACAATCTCTTGCACTCCACCGCGACAGTTTCCGACTGATAATTGATTCAGGTGGTGCTTTGGCATGTTTGTTTTCCATCATTACTACTGGCCACCTTGATGATGATTCAAGAATTCTGCCAGGTGGCAACCCGGAGGCAATGAGACAGACTTGCTTGCAATGTTGCAAACCAACAAAAACATTGCACGGATTGCACGGTGGATATGTATGCCTCGAAATGCCACGGTGGGGATCCTTCGAAGTAAAGGAACTTTCTGCTTCGTCCTCGGGTGTGGACAGCTCTGCCCAACGCCGAGAGCGCAGAGTTCTCTGAGGGACCGCAAGGGACCGCATGTTTGACAGCGTCCCTTTCTCTTTAGCCAAACATCGTACCCATGGTCCCAAAGGTCGAGTCCTTAGTCCCAAAGGTCGAGTCCTTAGTCCCAAAGGTCGAGTCCTTCCACCGGCAGAGAGCGCGAAAACGGGAGCGTGGTCCATCTGGGGGCAGCAGACTTCTTCTCGTAGAGCTCTGGCGCCCAATACTTCCGGGTGCCCACCTTGCCACGCTTTTTTCAGCGGGCAGGTGACGGGGGGGGGGGTCGGGAGTGAGGGTCGTGGTGGTCCAAGACACTCCATGTCAGCATGCATGGCGTTCTTTTTTTCTGTGGAATACTGATATACCTATGTGGAGGGATGTAAAAGTCCACGCGGACTGGTAGGTCTCTTGCAGGTCATGTCACAGGCCCAAAACAGGAACTGTTTTCGGATCGTCCACACAAGTCTCCTTGCTCTGAAGTGTGGCCGTGAAGGAGGGTTCGGCGGGTGGAACTAGCTGAGGTAGTTGGACTATGTTGAATATCCACTCCTCCACCACCTGATGATGTCCCGGCCCAGTATTTGTGTCTGGTTTGTTCTGTGGTACTGGAGTTCCTTCAGTACCGTTCATGGGCAAGTGCAGGAAGTCTTTTGATGTTGAGACAAAGCAAAACTCGATGGGTTTCAGCCATGGTGTGAAGTGGAGCTCAAATGGAAAAGACAATTAATATACCTGATGAAGTGTCTTATCCCACTAGTAAATGCACGTGTTCTTCAATTTCTATTTGAAAGAGAGGCACGGGACGTGTTTTGGTCATTTCTCGGCAGTCCACGTGTGAGGCCCTTGCACATTCTTGGATGCTTTTCACATGATAGCTGATAGCTTCTGATGGCTTCTATAGACACATGTTTCAGTATACATATCATATGACGTCTTTTTCGTTCGTGGGCCCTCGCTCCTTCAGTGTGGTGCTGACCGTGTCACCACGGAACCGCCCTTCGTTCGTGTCCATGTTCACACCGCGCCTGCGCGCACAGGAACCTTCCAGGCTCCAGTCGCCTACGACGCGAGCCGGTCGTGAGGAAACGGACAGGTCTCCCTGGTCTCGTCAACAGGTCTCCCTATATCAGTCAGGTCTCCTGTGAGCCACCTGTATTAGTCAAAGACTATGCAAATAAGAAACAATGGTCTGACTAATATAGAGTCACTTCGAGACGAAAAGGCTTCCTTCCCAACCTTCAATCAGTCAACTGGACTATGACCCGAGCTGGACTTCAATCGGTCTCGTGTACTGTACTATGACCCGCAGCTAACTCTTCCATAGGATACTCTGGGGTAAAAAAGGGTATACCATGGTATACCGGTCGTCTTTCATGTGTTTAAAGAATAACCGACCCGTGTACCAATGATACCGGTCCTTCCTTACAAAAGAAAACACACGGAAGCCAACTAAATACTCGTTCACCTGGTAGTGCCCGGTGTTACCACCGGGGGGTGATGACGGGACCTGTGGTGCCTGGATCAACAGAAGCCTATAGGCATTTGGGTCTATCCTATTACCAGGGACCAGTGGATGATGATGGTTCAGTTAAGGGCATTGTTCAAAAATAGTGCTATTCTTGTTTAGTGACGGTTACAAGCAAAAATAGGACAGACCCAGGTGCTAAAAACACCCAGAACGTTCTACACCAGCACCACCCAGTTTGGGATCATAGATGGGCCATTGGATTCTACAAACCCAGACACGCTCCATGGGACTGCCATATATGCCTATATACATTGACCCCCCAAACCACCACCACCCCTGGCCGTTTTGAAGGCAGTCCGGACTGGCAGTCCCATGAGTCATGTCTCGGTGAAGTAGATGGCTCTGTCTCCCACCACGCCTGGCACCGGGAGTCCACCCGCCCCCGGTCACTCCGGTCCCCACCTTGCTAGTCCGAAGTCGGACAGCACCACGCGACACCTGGGGAGGACGGAAAAACGAGACGAGCGAGACGCCCAAAGGACGAAAGAGACGTGGAGTCCTTCCTCTGCTTCCTCTACCTCTAGTGTCCTCTGAAGCCCAGAGTTTGCACCTATTCCGATATACAAATAGCTCACTTGAAGCGCATTTGGACTGGAGCTGTAACAAACGACTCAATGTGGTGTTCAGGACCATGGTTCAAACCCAGATCGGGATCTTGTAGGGTGGCTGAGTTTACAAGGTCTATGTTCCGGATGCCAATACCTTTTTCAGAAGAGCACAGGTGGAAACCCATGAACGAATGGCCAAAAGGAATTCCGTTGATTCTGCAGGCAATTCCCCAAGATCCAAGCATGAAGGTTTCGGCAAGAAGCAAGACACACGAGGTACTAGTCTTATCACAGGACAATGGACATTTATAGTTCGAGGCAAAGGCAAAAGCCACTAGGCCAAATGTTCTTTGAGCCCCCAAATCCATAGACTCAATATGACTCAATTCAAGAAGCAGTTGCTCCAAGATGGAAGCAACAAACCTTTGGCATCAACAACAAATCTCGGGAAGCAACAATCAAGAAATATTGAAAACAACAAACAAAGCAGTTTCAGGAGTCAATCCACCAAGCCACCAGTTTCAGGATTCAATCCACCAAACCACCAGTTTCAGGATTCAATCCACCAAACCACCAGTTTCAGGAGTCAATCCACCAATCCACCAGTTTCAGGAGTCAATCCACCAAAACACCAGTTTCAGGAGTCAATCCACCCAACCACCAGTTTCAGGAGTCAATCCACCAAACAACCAGTTTCAGGAGTCAATCCACCAAGCCACCAGTTTCAGGAGTCAATCCACCAAAACAACAGTTTCAGGAGTCAATCCACCAAACCACAAGTTTCAGGAGTCAATCCACCAAACCACCAGTTTCAGGAGTCAATCCACCAAACCACAAGTTTCAGGAGTCAATC